CAGTCAATTGCTCAAATGACTGAAAATCAGTTGTATTGGGTAAAAAGTCAACTATGGTCAATATATAGTCAAACTTCATGATTTTTGACCGACATCAACATTTTGAAGTCATATTCATCAATTTATCAAGTGTTGATCACAATTCCTCGAGAAAAAACACTCAAATCATCAAAGGGGCAAAATTGTCAAAATTAGGGTTTTGATTGAGAATGACTAATCATTGATTTTTGACCTAGTACATGACCTAATGGTTTGAAGCATAATCTCAAGGACTCAAACACAACATGTTGACCTAATTGCATGGCTCAAATCATTTCTCAAGATCAATGGATTGATAGTTGAAGTTTGATCAACTGATGAAAAGTCAACTAATACACAAAAAGTTAAACTTTAACATTTTGATCAACATTGAATTTCAAAGATCAAGATTCATCAAGATACTCAAAAATATCAAACTTGATCATCAATAATCAAGAAAGTCAAGAAAGTCCACAAAAAGTCAATGTTTCAATACTTAGAAAATTTCTAAGTATTTTTTTAAATCTTGATAATTTCAATACTTTATGACAATTTTTCACCAAGATGCAAGGTGATTCAAGGAAAACTTTCAACATGAAAGTTGTAGATCTTGATTAACTCTAAAACTTTGTATTATAGGGTTGATGTCCAAAAAATTCTTAGATTTGAAGATATGGGCTCATGAAGTCATGACATTTTTCATAAAACACTTGGTGAAATTTTCAACTAGTTTAGGCAGATTTTTGACCTAACTTCTTGACCAATTTTTACCTAGTTCCAAGATGATTTAGCCAAAGTGGTTAACATGAATGTTTTAGAAAATGTTTCAAGCTTTCCAAAATGTCCAAGAACTTGAAGAGATCATGCTTGAGCTAGGAGAATTGGAGTGAAAAAGTTGAGCTTTCATTCTTGAATTATAGGTCATTTTGATGATGAACACTTGATCAAATCTCAAGCCATGTTGCATAAATATTGCTTTGAAGGTTTATAACTTAAAAATCACTCCATAATTAATTATTTACGCAACTGTTAGAGCTATGATCCAAGCATTTGAGTCATTGTTCAAGATATTCATCCATTTTTGGCACAAAGTAACATTGCCATTCTTGTAAAGTTGCTTTAATGACAAAGTCAATTTGTCTTGAGCCTCCAACTTGTTTGTTCTAAACACACTCAACATACAAGATCAGATAAGCATGTTTAAATCCTCTAACTACTCTATATTGCTTTGTACTTCACCTTGGGACAATGTTTGTCAAGATTGCTTCAAAAACAAGTCAAAAAACCATAACATGTGATCTTGTGAATCTGACCACTTCAAGCCCTCAAACCTCTTGCCTATAAAAAGAGGCACTATTTTGCAAGCCAAAGACGAAGGCACAAGCCTTGAAACTCCCTCAAACACTCTCAAACTCAGAATTGCTCTCAAACTCTATTTCTGTGGCATTTCTGACCTTGAATCCCAAACTCACATTTCACTCGTGTGTTCTCACTCAAAATCAATCACAAAGCTTCCATACATCATTTAGAACCTATCCAAGACCCTGTTACACAAATGTAACACCTCCATCATCATGAACATCAAGTTCACCTCGCTCCCGATTCAATATTTAGAACCAGAGCCACGCTTCTGATCCGGACAAGACCAAAGCCCACCAATATGAACATATAGTTCACCGTTTCTATTTCCACACAAGGATCAAAACAACCAACCAGAGTTCAATCTCCCCATGTATGCATGTGCAAACATAACCAATTATATGCAAATTAAGATTATCATCAAACCTTAATCATACCGCATATCACAATAATCCATCAAAATGAAATATCCCACCGTTGCACAAAACATACATTTATCACGTTATCATTACCAACAATGCAATTATTTAGCATTCATCAATCACACATATCACGAATAGCAAACAATGCCAAAACATGTTATTCTCATTCAACAACAATTTAAAACATACACATACACAAAGTCAAGTGTCATGTTCATAACATTCTCAATTCAGCACATCACAATAACATATAGCAAACAATGCCAAAACATGTTATTTTCATTCATCATCCATTCATGACACATAACAAATAATATCTAAATTATTATTCTAATCATCCAATTCCAACAAACCTAGTTCTATTTTATATTTTATTGCATTAACTTTTTAATGATTCGAACAACGCCTAAAACGGAGTTACGGTCCAAAAGTTATGGCCGTTACAAAATCTGCTAGAAAATTTGTTGTATGAGTCGACGCAAAACCATGTATGAGTCGAAGCAAAGAATGAGTTGACGCAAAAGAACTATGAGTCTACGCAAAACTGTGTGACATCACTTTCTTGCCTGGCAGGTTGTCTCGCGCCGACCCCCCCCCCCCCCCCCCCCCTCCTTCAGTTTGAGTCGACTCAAACTTCTAAAACATGGTTTTTTCTACATTTTAACTTAATTTCCACACGATTTTTCTTATCAAAAACACTACCCATCACTATAAAACATCATGTTTTCCAATTTTATCAATAATCCATCATCCTAACATGAAGGTACTCGTTCTATTTCATTCAACACATCAATTTCTATCAAATCCATAGGTTTCTACACAAACCCTAACATGCGAGAGTTTAGATCTAGAAATTGAAAATCAAATCACACCTAGCATATTACTACCTTGCATACCATACACACCCATAATAATAAGGATTCTCCTCCTTACCTCTTGAAGACTCAAACTCTAGGTTTCTTCTTCTTCCTTCCTCTTTCTCCTCTTCTCTTCTTTTCTCTTATTTTCTCTTCTTTTGTGTTATGACATAACAACTCTAATCTCTCTTCTTACTACCCTATTCTTTAATGGGCTTAATTCTATTCTTCACATTTCTATCATAATATAAGCCCAACTCTTAATTATTTCTATTCTCACTCATAAACCAAAATATTCAAATAACACATATATCCAAATATTTTAAATAGTCACCAAAACACATAATTTAATTAATTATCATATAACATAATAATTAATAAAATAATAAAATAATACTAAATAAAAATCGGGATGTTACACAGAGCGTGTGTTGATAACGTCTGAAGTAGAAGATTGCGATCTTGTTCAGGTTGAGTAATTGTGGGTTTTTCTTGAATAAAATCTGAGGGTTTTGTCCTCCAAGGTCATTGAGATTTGGGTTTTTTGGCAATTCTTTGCTTCAAATTCAGTTGTGCTTAAGGGATTGAGGAACCGTGGGTTCGCTCGACAAGGTAGCTATAATCAGAGGATTGTGAAGGAAGAATTGAGATCATCATCTTGCGATCAAATCAACCAAGCAGAGGGTTTGAGAAACGATTTGGGTTCTCAACAAGGTAGCTACAACCGAAGGTTTATCGAAGATTGGTGACATACTTGGTTCAAATCGAATCAAGGGAAGAGAGGAGCTTAGTTTTCAATTCAACAAATTGAGTTTGGATTGTGGTGACTATTTTCTATCTCTTGTACAAACTTTGCAATCATAATAGCAATTATCCTAATTCTACATTCTAGAATTAGGGGCAGAGTACCCCACGCGAGGACGACAGGGAGAACTGCCTAAACAAATCGCGTGTTATTTTTCTTTCTAGTCTTTTACCGTTTATTTGCTATAATTTGTGAATTTGCACTAGTGATTCAAATTGTCTGAATTTGTAGTGTGATAGAACTATTGCTAAGCACTATAGTAATCATTTTGATTGCTATAATTGATATTAACACTACAAATTAAGATAGATTGGACTTGGTGTGACTACGCACACCAAGTGTTTGATAAAAGTCCAAAAGTGCAAATTTGTGAGTTTTTTCTCTTAACAACTCGTTGGAAGTAATTGACACTAATTAAAGAGTATAAGTGATCAATTATAATTGAATTAAGTATTAATAATTCTCACTTATTCATTTCGTTCGGTTTTACGCATATCCGGTCTTTTCAATAGAGGATCGTTTTTAGACGAGTGTATTGAGTAGCTTTCACTGCGTCTAACTCCTAAATATTCCAAACTCAAACCAAAATAAAATAAGGCCAAAATGATATAACATTTCTATTAGATGAATATAGTGTAGTTTAATTAAAAATTAGGAAGAAATTGCGACTTCATACCAGCATAACCTCTAACTCCCAAATGTTCCAAACTCAAACCAAAATAAAGTAAGGCGAAAATGATATAACATTTTTATTAGATGAATATGGTGTAGTTTATTTAAAAATTAGGAAGAAATTGCATTCATCAAAATCTGAAAAAGTAAGATGAGAAAGAGAAATTTGCTAAATATTCTTCTAAATGTGAGAAATGAATGACCGAAATTGATTAAGATATTTAATTTAAACAAAAGAATAAAAATTGAGAGATTTTTAAAACTTCTCACACAAAGAGTTCTCTTGGTGTTAAAAAATAGGGAGGAAAACGGGTCATGTTATTAAAGGATGTATTTATATCCAAACATGTACATTCTTGCATTGGGTAAAACGTTTAAAGTTCTCCAAAACTCAAAAAAAATCGTTTAAAAAACATGTCAAAAAAGTTTTGCATAAACAATTTTTTACACTATCAACACGTCACAACCATTCATCAGCATAACTTTAAAGATAATTAAGATAAACAACAAACATCTCTAATGATCAAACAATTGTGATTAACTGAGAATGTAAAAGCTCCTAAAACATGGATTTACAGTCAAAGATAGAAACTTGAATTGACAAAAAACATATTGTCAATAAAAGAGGTTAGATTATGATGCAACCAGCATTCACATTAAAGAAACCTTTTACTAGAATTAGTACCAAGTAATCAAGATGAAGACTGTTTTCAGATTCCAAAGCACTACTCAGATTCTATATATACAGGATAGCTACAACAATATGAGTGTTTCTTGTAAAGTAGTCTATCCATGCCCCTATCTAACACTTCCATATATAATTCCATCTCCTTGAAGCTTCTTAAACCTTTGTTACTACTCTAACAATCACTTTCCTCTAGCCTTTTCCAAGTCAGGAAGATCTACAAAAAATAGTCATTTATATATAAACTGTAAGATAAGCGCTTACGCTATAAGCATAACTGCTTAATGAAGTTGTTTATCCAATCAGAGACTAAGGTATCTTATCGACAAGGTTGTCTTAAATTTTTTGAGGCCCTGTGTAGGTTAGTCACAATTCAATCGTGACCAAATATGGACCCTATTTAACTACGGTTTAACAGTGACGGATTTTGGGCATTATGCCTCAAAGCCAATGCAAGCAATTGAAAGGATCAGTGTAACTAAAATAGAGATGCAACTGATTCACTCACATAACATTCCTTCATCATCACTGCTTTCATCATCTTCGCCAGCAAACTGCAAACGAACAAGTTGCATTGTATAAGATTAAGCACTTGGAGTTCGAGGTTTGTTAAACTCTACAACTCAAAATTACATGTGACGAGCAATAAAGTTGACTTACCCGTCCATCGTCGTCGGATATCAATTCAGCTGCAATAATACCAATAGAATTTAATCAGACGAGTGTAATACTCACAAGTAATTGATTTAGTTTTAATGTTCGACGTTGTTTAACGTAAGCTTACAATCTGATTCTTCATCTTCGTCACACCATTTATTCCAATCAACCTTAAGGTATGGAGCGGGTTTCTCTTCAGATTTCAGTAGTCTTTTCCACCAACCTCTTTGTCCTTTCTGAATTGAGCATAGTATGTTTCTTGAGCTCGATTTTATTTTACAGCCCTACACAGCACAATAACAAATTTGCCCTTTTCAAAACTGAAACTATCAGTAAAGTGGAAGAGTCAAAAACTCATGCAATCGTTGATATTGTGGAAAATGCAGACAAATGCAATTGCAATTTTCAAATGTAACTAAACAAAAGATCACTCACCTCAGGTTCAATCGATCCATAAAGTTCCAAGGTAAAGCTGTAGGATTCATGTTGAAGCTTAGAGGCAGTGAAAGTAAACAAACCATGAGGCTCACACTTCACAGAAACATCCTTGGCATCAGTAAGAGAAACAGTCAGGTAAAGCTTGTCAGAACGCTGCGCCCACAGAACTTCAGGATGGCGACTACACACACACCGAAAATCAAATTAGGAGTGAAAAATAATTTTTCAACTATAGAGGGTTTTGCAATAGTATATATAACCACAATCTGAGCCACAGCTATTACAAGTAGAGTTTTGCCTAATTCATCCCTACAATACAACTGTAAGATGGGAGTGTCTCTATATAAACTACTTCCAGATTCTATCAATAACCAATGCGAAATTTGATATTTTCCCAATACACCCCTCATACCGGCACTATTGAGCTTGGTGCGTGGATATAAACGGCAAGTGGCCCATGGTCCGATCGGTAGTCTCCGATACCATCTTAGAATTATAGTTTGGCCTAATTCTATATAAATAAAAACTTTATGGTGACGCACGGTTGAAAAGAAGTTTACATGGCAATCCAATCAAGAAGCTAAAAATGGAACGTACATACAAAACAAAATTACTAATCTTATATTAAATTAGCTGCGCGCCAAATTTAACAAATCATAAGTGGATTACAGATAGAAAGAAAATTAAAATCTAAAAAAATCATTCCAGATCCCAACTTTCTGTCCATTATCCGAAAATAGCAATTAATGATATTTCATTACTGTATATAAAATCCAAAACAATAATTCCATATCTATCACTTTTTCCCAACTTCTAAATCCCACGCCTCTCTTTATCTCTACATATCCAAAATACGATGTCTTCGTCGCAAAAGATTCTTGTAACCGGTGGGGCTGGTTTCATTGGCGCTCACACCGTTGTTCAACTTCTCAAAGATGGGTTTCATGTTTCCATCATCGATAATTTCGATAATTCTAGTATGAAAGCAGTGGACTGCGTTCGTGAAGTTGTCGGTTCAAAGCTTTCTCAGAATCTTGAATTCACACTGGGAGATCTCAGGAATAAAGATGATTTGGAGAAACTCTTCTCAAAAACTAAATTTGATGCAGTGATTCATTTTGCTGGGTTAAAAGCAGTTGGAGAAAGTGTTGCAAATCCTCGTCGTTATTTCGATAATAATCTTGTTGGCACCATCAATCTCTATGAAGTTATGGCTAAGCACAATTGCAAAAACATGGTTTTCTCATCATCTGCAACGGTTTACGGCCAACCTGAAAAGATGCCATGTGTGGAGAATTTCAAGTTACTAGCAATGAACCCTTATGGACGGACGAAGCTTTTCCTTGAAGAAATTGCGCGAGATATTCAGAAAGCTGAGCCTGAATGGAGAATCATTTTACTGAGATACTTCAATCCAGTTGGGGCACACGAAAGTGGTAAACTCGGTGAAGATCCTAGGGGCATCCCAAATAACCTCATGCCTTATATACAGCAAGTAGCCGTTGGAAGATTACCCGAGCTCAATGTATATGGTCATGATTATCCTACAAGGGATGGCTCTGCGGTACGGGACTATATCCATGTGATGGACTTAGCAGACGGTCACATTGCTGCCCTGAGAAAGCTTTTCACAACGGAAAACATAGGCTGTACTGCTTACAATTTGGGAACCGGTTGTGGTACATCCGTGCTTGAAATGGTTGACGCATTTAATAAAGCTTCGGGCAAGAAAATCGCATTGAAATTGTGTCCGAGAAGGCCAGGAGACGCCACCGAGGTTTATGCATCTACAGAGAAAGCCGAGAGAGAACTTGGTTGGAAGGCCAAATACGGTGTAGAGGAAATGTGCAGGGACCAGTGGAATTGGGCAAAGAACAACCCGTGGGGTTACTCGGGGAAGCCTTGAATCAGCTCGACAAATACACTACTTATGTACCAATATTTTCTATACAAATAGGCCTTCTATTGTTAAAGAGTACTTGAAGCCTGTTTAGGTCAAACTCTAATTCTAATGTGATTCTCCGCTATTTGAAACCAACATTCAATAACTTAATAAAAATAATTTGCTTGAATGATCAAAAATTCCAAACTATTTACAGTTTTACTAAAATGTTCTGTGATTACAATCTAAACCGCAACATCAAAGGTTTATAATGTATCTACAATGCAACCAGAATTGAAACCCTAACAACACTCTTTGAATGTGATTCTTCGCGAATATCAAACAACGCGATTTCAACATTTAATTACCTAATAAACATAAATTGTTTAAATGACTGTGAGTATTGAAACTTCACTGGGTTTTACAGACAAATGGGTCAACAATGTATAAAAAATCTTCGTTATTACAAAGATATAACATGAAATTGAAATGGGGCAAGGATAAAACTAAGCAACAGTGGAAGTAATAATGGTTTATCTTCATAGAAAACATAGAAAAGTTTCAGATTTCAGAAAAGTAAAACGAAAGAGAAAGAAAAGAGAAAACCTCATATTCTGCAGAGTAGAGTAGAGTAGAGTGTTTGGATTTGTCTCACTTGTTTGTTCGCTTTTCTTTTTGTTCCTTAATCTATTTATACTATGAAATACTGATTTTTTTTTGGTACAAATTATACAACGAATACTACTTAAACATATAAATAAAAATATATAACAATTAAAACCCATATTAATAATTGGAAAACACAAATAAACTTTCTCCCTCTTGTTATATTATTAATAATAGTAAGGATAATTATGTAAAATTAACATATTCATTTTGATGTATATTTATTGTGACAATCACTTTTTTTAATGCATGTAGGTAGGGATCTTATAATAAGAGATGAAGAGAGCATTTTTTATTTTATATAGTGAATTTGTTGGTTGTGTTTTGTATATAGATCTATCATCCAAGTATTTAAATCTACATGTGACAAGATCATTCATGTTCTGTATCGGCTAAAGATTTGGGATCTATCGATTTGTTTCGACCAAGATTTGAGATCTATCGGTCTGAGGTGACAAAAAATTCAGATCTATTACTCTTCGTCGGTCAAAGGTTTAATGGCACGAGACATATTACCTAGCTTATTCCGTCAAGTCCAAGGTATAAATGCCTTGGTAAAGAATTCTAAAGTACACAATCTATAATCTCCACTTTCACTATCACCTATCTTGAACTTAAACAGACTTAAGTATTTGAGTACTAACCGTGCAGGTAGCACATTTTATTCTTGTCGTATCGGAGATAACGACACTGGTTATCAGCACTGATACCTCTGGTTCAAGAAGTACTGTGATCGCAACATTTGATCCCTAGTGTCGCATCCGTGAAAAGCATCAGATGTTCTGTTCCACCGTAGTTTCCCCAATCATTATCATTTCTGGTTCCACAATAGAACAATGGTGCCGTCTTTGAGAATCGACTTCCAATTCATACGATTTCCATGATTTCACGTTCGATTTCAGATCTGAGCTCCAAAGAGATCTTCAACAAAAAATCGAAATCGCACGAAGCCGAAATCTCAGAACTGCGTCGTTGGATCCATCGAACTCCGGTCCAACGTCGAGCAAACAGTTACATCGATTTCGAGCCATCCTATAACAACGTCGATGGAAGCCCCAGATCAAGATTTTGTCCGGAGACTTCCTGCTCGACCGGGGGCATCATCCTCGAATACTAAACTAAGTCGACCAGGGCACCCTTAGATTCGGGTTCAGATTCGCAAGTCCAGGGTCGGTCATGGTCCATCACGCCCTCACCCAAGAAAAATCGGATCCAAACTCACCAGGCACACCTCTGTCTGAGTCTCATTAAAATCTGAGGGAAAACTCAGCTCGGATACGAGCAAGGCCAGAAGGATTCATCCTTAAGAGACACGACATATTTATCACCAGCACGAACAATCAACGTCGAGTATCTCATTATCGTAAAGGTATCATGATGGTTATATTATCGTGACCACAAGGACCCAGTCATGGGAAAGTAGCAAAGTCCTGAGGCTGCGAAATAATAAGGGAATTACAAAATGATAAACATACCTGAACATGGAATAAATCAGGGGACCATTTGTCCGATTGAAGCCTGCTGATGGAGTAAGTGATGGATATATTGCTCTCCATTGGCAGCGGAACTTCCTAATATACCAAAAAGGGAGGGGCCAGGCAAACAATCAGGGTATAAGGAAGGAAAGAAGGCAAGTCATGCCTAATGAGGCATAGTGGTGATAACTTTCCAAGAGATCTGTCGAGCGTTGCAAAAGTCAATCAGAATCCCTCAGCATCCATCTAGACAAGGACCCTCCTGAAGAATCATTCGGGCCAAATAATGATAGATCATCTTGACTCGAACACAAGAGTCGTACACGTATTACAGGGACCATACGTATCTCGGGCCAAGAGCCCAGCCATCCAGAGTCGGCTGAGCACTAAGCCACCCGAATACCTCATCCAAGGAAATCGCCTTGTATAAACTTGTCCCCAACCTCAAGATTGAATTAATTTATTTGTAAATTAATTATATAATAGTAAAAAAGAATCCCCTTTTTAGGGCACTAAAATGCAAATCCATATTGCAGCGAACCGGGGAACAACCAATACAGTTGATGTCCATCCTTGGAATATGGGGTGATGTTAGATATGTTTCCTGATCCCGGCTACAACAATCAAAATTTGCGACACTTTTCATGCACGAAGTCAGGGGTGTTATCAGATATGCTTTGAGTGTTCGAGTACAACAATCAATTCCCCACAACGCCTCGTGCGCCTTCAAAATTCTATAAGAATAAGATTTGGTTCTGCAATTTTATCTCTGAGTTTTAATGATAACAAATGATTGTGTTTGTATGAACAATTTTGATACTCTAATGTTTGTTATTTTTTAGTATTTAACAAACAGGTTATGCTTCTGATGGATGGCATGGGCAAGACATTAGAAGAGAATTAATTCCACTTTTGCGCTACACAAGTTCTAATGAACAGTAGCGAGGCACTCTAGAAGACTCTAAAGTATAGGCTTTGATATTTGTATAAAGAAATAAGTCAGAAGATCTGAAGACAGAAGTTTCTACTTAAGTCCAGATGTTGGAGACTAATGTTTCTGAAGACAAAGGGTTATAAAGACTAAGTGTTAAAGATTCTGATAGACGAAGTTCTAAAGACTCTGAAGACTTGAAGTTCTAAAGACCCATGGTTCTAAGAAAAGAGTTTTAAATACCAAGTGTTGAAGACTCTGAAAACGCGGTTCTGAAGACTCTAAAGAGTTGAAATTCTAAAGACCCAAGGTTCTATAAAAGGATCTCAAGACCAAGCGTTGAAAGTTCGAAGACAAGGTTCTGAGTGAACAAGTTCTGACGACTGAAGACTTTATTATCTAGAGATTCAAATGTCACAATTCTACTCATACTTCAATCATCTACCATCAGAAGCC